ATATATATATAAAATTTTATTTATTTATTTTTTTACCTCTAAGCAAACTCATAAAACGTAATAATTGAAAACATGAAAAGTAACTGCAGAGCTAATGGATTGACAAAATTCTTACTTTAGGCTGATTATTCAGCTAAGCTCTAAAACAATCAGACAGTTACACACTTTAATGTTAATCAGAAGGACCCAACTGGTCCTGGCAGTCACAATGAGTTTCTCCCAGTGACTAAAGTCCATGTTCAGGACCTCCATCTGGCTTTTGTAAAGTTTATTCTCCGTGAACTTCCTCAGAATCCACCAGGCAGTTGGGAAAGAGACACACGCTGCTGCTATGTGCTAATAACCGATCACAAACAGTACTCGAGCTGGACAGGTTGTTAAATTCAGCTGTCAGCTTCTGAATGTGCTAATCTTCCCAGCACTCCAGTTCAACAGCATCTCTTTTGGCAGCTGCAACAATAAAACAAACTACAACTGAATGCCTATGTGTTTTAGTTGCTTACTGTAAGTGTTCTTTTTTATTTTGACCTAAATACTCATTAATAATTTGCTACAAAATGACAGCAAACCAAGTAAATGCAAAGTTGTGTGGATGGATGGGTAGATGGGTGGGTGGGTGGATGGATGGATAAATGGATAAATGGATTGATGGATAGAAAAATAGGTGGATTGATTGGTTGATTTTTGGCTTAAATAGCAAGATGGTTTCACCTTAATCTGCCTTCCTTTGCTCTCTGAAGTTGACTCCCTGTGATTTTTTTTTTCTGATCAGGTCAGTGGAGGAGAGCTTCAACATGTCTGATGAAAGTGGAGCTCAGAGCCTTGGAGTGATGCGGAAGAAGAAGATCGCCATCGGAGTCATCTTCACGCTGTCTTCTGACCCAGAGGAGGACACCCGCTTCCAGGATTTCTTCTTCTCCCACTTCCCTCTATTTGAAAGCCACATGAACAAACTCAAGAGCGCCATTGAGCAGGTAAAGTCCTGCTTGTTTCATTTATCTTTGTTTATTGCAAGCTAACATTTTTATTGCATAAATATTGTAAATCAGTTAACTGGTTAGGACGGAGGTAAGAATACTCTTGTAACATACCCTTGATGTTGTAACAAGYAGTTTGATATCAAACTAAGTTCTTTGTAAATCTGTTTCTGTTTGCTTCTTTCTGATAATGAAACTGTCCAGCTCTGAATCATTCAGATTTTATCCTCAGTCCCACTTTCTGCTCTTCCCTTTTGTGTCTCCTCCCTCACAAATTCCTCTTTTTTTATAGCCTGTGCGCCAAATGTCTAAAACTGTGTGTGTTTTGTGTCACTCTCAAGGCCATGAAGATGAGTCGGCGGTCAGCAGATGCCAGTCAGAGAGTTTTGGCTTACAGCCGAATAGTCGATGGACTCAACGAGTTCAGGTTGGGCAAAACTCACATTTTTTCCCCTTAACACAGAACTATTATAACATTTATTTTCCTCGGTCTTCTCATGGCCAAGTTTTTATAAAGGGAATAAACTGTTATAAATATTCACTCGGTTTGCTCAAACCAGAATTTTCATTGAATTTATTGCATGCTTATATGTAAACATTCTTAATTCACAAAATAAATGTTTATTTTGAACATTTTTAATACACTTAAGCCAGAAATCTTTGTTCTTGTACACCATGAAAAGGCCTTGTTTTGTGATGCATAGTCAGAAAGTTCAACATTAAGATGGAGTTAAAGCAGATCAGCAGGTGCTATTTAGGTTAGTGAATCACATGTAAATATTGACACGTGGCTGAGCACGGGATATAAAGAGTGGAAAAACAGGAATGAGCACAACATAAAAGGTGAAGTATCACATGTTCCACTTGTGTTCCAAATAATAAACCTTTTACATCATAAATATGACATTCTAACCAAGTTTACACCACAAACAAAGTCCTGTTTTTTATCAGTTGGTCACACTCACTTTATTTCTTATGCAAAAATTGACATAATGCTTATATTTAATCAACTTTATCTGACCTGAAACTTATGTACTTTTTTAACCCCAGTCATTTACAATACAGGATTGTAGTATCATACTAGCAACCCATAACGAACATGACTTAATTTTAAAAATTTTATTTGGTGATTGTCACTTTACACTGAGAAAAGGTGAGAGGTGCTCACTTGCCCAAATCAGTTGTGTAAAAAAAAATACTCCTCTGTGTCAGTGACGATAAATAGCTAATTCTCTTTGTTAGTTTAAAGCTATTTATATGCACGGCAAGATCAGTAAGAGATGTTGCAACACAATGAGATAAAGAAAGAAGGAACACTTTGTTCTCTGCCAGGATGGACCAAACTATGGCTGTTAGATAGTAACTCAGTGGTAGACATAAGGAAATTTGACAAAACCTGGTTGTCCGCAAAACCTTTTTAGTTGTCCAAAAGAATCTCAAAAAAAATGTAATTTAACAAGTATATTGTTTTGTAGACAAAGTTTATTATATTATATACTGGTAATTGTTCTCAGTTAGCCAGGTTGACAGGAGCTGCATAAATAAAACTTCTTCATTCTCTTCTTTGAAATAGAGTTCAACATTCATAAACTTCTTTCTACTCATAGGTCAAACATTTTCACTTAAATATGAGTATACTGTGTACATGACCTTATTGAAAGTTACAGTTTAGTATTCTGTTCAGTTTTACCAAGTTTTTTCTCCATTTCATTTTTACAAATGGACACCCGCGGCAGAGAACTTTAATCAAGGTCTTTTTTTGCTTGGTTGTCCACCGGACAACCAGGAGACAGGATCTGGTTGTCCGAAACGAAAATAGGTTGTCTCAGAAAACCTAAACAATGGTTATGTCTACCCCTGTAATTGCAGTGCACGCTGGGTAGTGGCTGCATTTGAATAGGATGTTTTTATTTAGACATTTTAAAAACAGGAGTTCCAAGAAGGCTTCAGATTTTATTTGTGGTTATATGCATTATCAACTTGTAAATCTTTGCTCAATAGGGTGCAGAATTTTGTGTGTGTGCCTGATTGTATGCATGCACTGATATCCCTGTGCCTTGCAGCACACATGTAGGCAGATTGAGGTCTCCTCATTGCTGCAGTCATGATCCTGTTGACACCTGGTCTCAGCAACCCTAGCTGCCCAGGTGGCAACCCTATCTACCTCAGACTTTGGTCACAAGCAAGCACCAGAATAGTAAACAGTTAATGCCAGCAGGAGAAACACTGATGCTCCAGACCTGCAAAATATCTGTAAAACTTCACCTTCAGACTGCAGCTACATTTACCGTTAAGGGGCTTTGACTTCATGGAACATTACAGGAAGGAATTGGAAGAAGTTCCTTTTCTCCATGATGATGTGGCTCTGACGTTGTTGGAGGGCGGACATGCACACATGTTGGCAAAGATAAGCTGCAGCATTTAGCTAAGGCGTCACTCCAGCCAGCACTGGACTTGTGTTGGGGTGTGTGTGTGTGTGTGTGTGTGTGTGTGTGTGTGTGTGTGTGTGTGTGTGTGTGTGTGTGTGTGTGTG